AAACTTTTACATCGAACATTTACAATTACATTCTTCAAACTTATACAAACAAAGACACTAAAATACTTATGAACTCACCAGCTTTAATGTTGATCTGCGCTTTCAAAATAACTTGTATTCTCAGGTCGCTAATAGACAGGTACTGATGGCCAGGTTTTGAGAAGATGGAGCACATTCAAGACTCATCTTTTATTTTGATTATACATTTTGGTGTCTTATAAACTTCAGAACACACTTGTATTAAAATTATTACTATTAATGCAATGGATGATGTTGTTGCTTGTTTACTATTATGCATTGTCTGTGATACTGTACATGACGTCCTCCGCCCCCGAACGTTTCCGCCGTTCCGGTTTTAGGGTGTGACACAATGACCTTTCCTCTACCTTAAGCCACTCCTTTAGCTTGTTTTGGGGCATTATCATCTTGCATGCACGTAAAGTTTGCAACTTTACGTGATAATCATGCCCTAGGAGCTTAGATCTGCAATATGGAGCCTTTGCATGACTTAAAAAGCATCTGTATGGTTGAAGGATTGAAGGGACTCGGCGAGTCGTAAGGTCGACTTGGCGAGTCATATGAAGATAGTCATGTACTCGACGAGTTGGATGAACAACTCGGCGAGTCCGATGAAGATTGCCTTGGGCTCGGCGAGTCAGTCGTATGACTCGGCGAGTCGGCTAGGGTTTTTCCCCAACCCTTGGATACACGTGAACTCGGCGAGTTGCGGGGAAACTCGACAAGTAAACCAAGGATTTCACGACTTCTCGAGTTCAGGAAGGACTCGACGATTCGGTAAACTGCACTCGACGAGTCGGGTCAACATGGACTGTTGACCTTGACTGTTGGCTTTGGCTTTGACCAAGGGTTGACCAGTTGGCCTTTGGGGGTATTTTAGTAATTTGGAAATTTATGAAAAAGGGTTTTATGGTAACTATAGGTGGTGGAGTTCGTGTTGGCGATTCGAGAGTTGAGCCTACCACTTCAGTGCGACTTTTGGGAGGTGAGTTCTCCTCACTATATCAACAGGGTCTACAGCACCAAGGCCGGCCCTTTATGATTTACATACTGGTTAGGATGGTTGCTATGTTATTGTTATGCTAGATTTCATCCTGGTTTAGGGTGGTTACTATGTTAGATTACATCCTGGTTTAGGATGGTTGCTATGTTATTGCTATGTTAGATTTCATCCTGGTTTAGGATGGTTGCTATGCTAGAGATCGGTTAGATCGGTATCCTGGTTATAGGAGGGTTGTCATGTTAGTGATCTGTTAGATCTGCATGTTTACTTGTTTATATATATGTGCACATGTGTGTTGGTTTGGGGAAAGGGTTGAGACAGGTCCTGCTGTGTGCAGTAGGCCAAGACACCCTGGGCGGACCGGGTAGACTGCAGGTCCGGGCCGGGAAAATCTAGTCAGGCCGAAGGCCCAGTGAGCGGTCCGGATAGGCTGAAGGCCCCGAGGAGGCCAGTCCAGATGTGCCGAGGGCTCGGAGAGCGGTCCAGATAGACTGAGGACCGGGATTCGGTCCAGTCAGACTGATGGCTCATTATGCATGTTGTTTGCTTATATGTTATATGATATGATTATGATTGTATGGCGTTGGTATTTTGGGGGTAACTCGCTAAGCCTTCGAGCTTACATTTATCGATTATTGTTTCAGGTACTTCTGATGATCGCGGGAAGGAAAATGCGTGATCGTACCGCTCCTCACATTTTATGATTTGATTTTGGGATACTCTGACAAAATACTATTTTGAAAACAAGTTTGTAATAATCATGTGTTTTGAAATGTTTTAAAAAGTTTTAAATTGGATCGAATTTTATGGATGTTACAACCTAGGTTGTCTATCCTCATAATATTGTGAATTTCCCACCATGAAGCTCTATAGAAAACATGTAAAGATTTGCTTCTGGTCAAGACAAAATAGAAAAAAGAAAAAGGAAATTAGTAACTTTCCTTACCACAATCATTTTTTTTCTCATTTTTTATTTATAATCAACTCATTAATTAAGACTAAAGAACTAACCATATATGGCTCTTGTATCAAATTGTTGTCATAGTGGTCGAATTGTCTACATTTGAAAAACCATCTTTAAACAAATGTAGTTGTGATGATCTAGAATGTTATTTAGAGTCAGGGTTTTATATGGTTTAAGAATAAGAATGTATGATAAAGAAAATAAAAGACCAACTAAAATCTAAAGGGTATAAGCTTGAGTATAGGCTTTCTTATGTTCCCATAATGTCAGCAAAGATGAAAAGACAACTCTCCCTCACATAAGAGGTCGATGTGGTTTTAACGAATGAGATTTAACCGATGTTATCTTTGGGAACCAAATCTACAATAAAAGTAGGCCCAAAAAACCATATCCACAGTTTTAAAAGCCTTTGGACCGGAACCAAAGAGCAAACCACATAGACCAAAGGGCTTTTGACATAAAAGTCCTTAAATTTTGCAATTTTTGTCGGTTTTGTCCCTGCAACGATTTAGATGCGTTAAAGCCCAATATTTTCAAACTTTTTTTCATTTTCGCCATTTAGCCGGTTACCCTCTCCACAGCAGGTCATTTTCGCTTAGGTGGCGGTGAGTAGGCCTGGTTGATGACGTGGCTAGCTACGTCAGCATTTTCTTCCTTTAATTTAATATCCACGGTTTTAAAAGCCTTTGGACCGGAACCAAAGAGCAAATCACATAGACCAAAGGGCTTTTGACATAAAAGTCCTTAAATTTTGTAATTTTTGTCGGTTTTGTCCCTGCAACGATTTTAGATGCGTTAAAGCCCAATATTTTCAAACTTTTTTTCATTTTCGCCATTTAGCCGGTTACCCTCTCCACAGCAGGTCATTTTCGCTTAGGTGGCGGTGAGTAGGCCTGGTTGATGACGTGGCTAGCTACGTCAGCATTTTCTTCCTTTAATTTAATATACACAAAATAGAAAAAGTGCATGCTCATAGAAGGGTTCGAACCCTCGCCCACTCCAGAGCTGGGCAGCGCCGAAACCACCAAGCCGGACAATTTTCCAGTGTTTATTGCCGAATAATTGTATATATTGTGCATTAATTATTTTTTACATTAAATAATAATAATAATAATAATAATAATAATAATAATATTATTATTATTATTATTATTATTATTATTATTATTATTATTATTATTCTATTTTTATTCTTACATAAAACGTATTTATTAATCTTCAAACGTATCTTTAACGTACAAAAAAAATATTTTTTAACGTATAGAATTTCATATTCTTATTATTTTTATATGAAATAAATATATAATTATGCCTATCAAATACAAATAATTATATAAAATTATAACGTATACAAATGTACAAATTTGTTATATATATATATATATATATATATATATATATATTATATATATATATTATATATATATATATATATATATAATATCGTTATTGACGGTATATTTTTTAACATATATAAATATCTTTTTCAATATATAAAAACATTTAAAATTTTATTTTACCTTTAAAACCTATTATTTATGTTTTTTTACTTAAAAATAACATTTATACCTATAATTTTTTTATTTAAAAAACTTATACATAATATATACAAATAAATATGCTAAATTTATTGAATATGTGTAAAACGTTAAAGAATATGTTTTTATAAGTTTAAACATTATCAAATACGTTTTATATAAAAAACAAAAAAAAAAATTTAAGTTATTATTACGGTTTCGTGATAGTGTATATATATAAGTTCATCAATTATTTCATAAAAAATCGTTTGTCATTCTGGCATTCGCGTTGGCATTTTGGGGCTAGGCGAGGGTTCGAAACCCTTTTCCACGATTCATCTAGATTTTAGAGAATTTTTTTCTTAAGGGAAGGATACGCTGAGGTGGCTAGCCATGTCAGAGCCACGTCAGCCCCGTGTCAGCGAAAGGCCCACTTACCGCCACCTAAGCGAAAATTACGTGTTGTGGAAAGGGTAACCGGCTAAATGGCGAAAATGAAAAAAAGTTTGAAAATATTGGGCTTTAATGCACCTAAAATCGTTGCAGGGGCAAAACCGACAAAAATCACAAAACTTAAGGATTTTTATGTCAAAAACCCTAGACCAAATTTGTAATCTTTTCTACTTTTTTTATTAAAAATGTTACTATATTATTGGTGAATTTATTATTTTTTGTAACTTTTATTTTATAATTCTAACAATACGATAGCGGTGTGGTAGTATTTTTATTTTCTTAACCAAAACAACACGTTGAATCTTTGATGATGTCAAGGTGTTGATAAAAGGATGAAATGTTGCACGTCAATTCAACGAGGTCATGCAATCCAAACAAATAGTTTTTATGAGAAGGTGTTGGAGTATAAGTTAGACATACAAGTTAGTTATGTATGCACCTCATTAACATTTGGATTCAATTTTAAAGAATATGATCCAAGGAGTTAGTTTACTTGATAAAATCTCACAATCACTAGAACAAGGCTTTAGAAAAAGCAAGTCTATTAGTGGGTAACTACATGCAATACTTTTACAACTCAAATGAAAACAAGCATAGAAAATACAAGATTACAACCAAAAAATTTGAATCAACCATAAGGAACACAAAGATTTAAGTATGGATCTCTCTCTTTCTCTTGATATACAATACAACACTAAAATTTTCAAGATAATTAGTATCACACCAACAAGATTAAAATCAAGCGTATGTAAGTGGAGAAAAATATTTATACGAGTTTTGTTTCAAAGATATTTTCCTAATCTCACAAACACTCCTTGACTCATTTATGTCCCAAATCAGGAAAGTGTTACAAATAAATACTTAAATAAAACTTTTTTATAAAATTACAGCTAAAATTACAAATAAATAAATAAATCACATCTAATAATGCATTTTAGGCAAACTTCTGACACTAAAACACGAGAATAGTCCAAGTCATATCCATATGTAACCATGTGCAAAGGTCAATGTCGACCTAATTTCGTTCAACCAAATCATTATTCCCCCAACTAATGGGATCACACACAAATCAACTTCAAACATTAATTCGTTCCAATAATTCCAAGATTTTAAATTTTTTAATATTGTAATCAATCTATTCATGATTAAATATTCAATGTAGAAAATGACAAAACTACCCCGAAGTTCTATCACCACCAAAACCCGAATCCAAATACCCAGCCCCATTAAGATGACTCACATCCCCCCATGACTTGATCACCCATCGGTCAGGATCTGATAAGTGAAGAACATTGACCGAAACATTCAGTATCCTTCCTGCCCGCTGCCCGCTTCCTGTATAAGCCCGTTGGTGAAGTGCCCGGATCACACCGCCATGTGTCACCACCACCACCCTCTCCCCTGTCAAAAAAAAATTATAAATTATTGACAAGTTACAAATTTGGTCCTTGTACTTTACTCAAAATCACAAGTTTGGTCCATTTTTTGAAATCTTCCTTCAGTTTACATTAAATAGTGGATTTAGCCCCTGGACTTTAATCAAAATCGCAAGTTTGGCCAAAATATTTCTTTGAAGACTTGTATTTCGTTGTTGGAGGGACTATATCCGCAACCAAATGCAAACTTAAGGACGATTATTGCAAAGATTTCAAAATTTTGGACCAAATTTGTAATTTGATATAAACTAGTATTTAATTCACCCTGTGCAGAGAACTAACTCCTTTGTAATTAATAAAAACGAAACCTATAAAAAGAAATTATGTAAGGGACAAAGAACGTAACTTTAAAATATAGTAAGGGACCAAAATCGCAACTTATAAAATACCAACAATTTAACTTTAAAATTACGAAAGATGAAAACTGTTAGATCAAAATTTCGAGAGAGATGTTTATATTGCGTCTTATATTATACGTTGTAAAAGTTGTAATGTGATCTGGATTTAGCCATTTTTGGTCTGGAAAAAAGTAAAAAATCAAAATGAATAGTAACTTCCACTCACAAACCATATTTGGTAATTAATATATAGACAAAATTGCAAAAATGGTCCCTGAGGTTTCTCATTTTATAATTTATTACCTCGATGTTTACTAGCAATTGTTTGTAATGAAGATGTGCAACGTTTATAGAGTTGATCTAGACTTTCACCACCACCCTGTACAAATAATAGATTAAAAGGGAAAATTGCTAAAAATAGAAACATACTTTACTCTGATTACCAATATAGACAATGTACTTTATTTTTTTACATTTCTTTACCCATAATAGCAATATATTTACATTAATGTGTTTTATTTTTATTTTTATTTTCACAAATGAAGTGTGTACTTACAGGGATTTCAACGTTAGTGTGTCGAGACTGAAGAGCTTCATATGCTTTGGTTTTAATTTTTGGTGCTTCACTATATACAAGACCTTGAAGATCACCTAAATGTCTCTCTCTAAGGGTTTGATCTTGAATAACCTAAAATAAAATAGTTTAGTAGTGAAATATGGTTTTTTGAACGATTTTAAAAACTATGTGAAGAATTTATAAGTGGGAATTAGAAATTTGGAATCATACCTGAAGCCCTCCACATCTGTTTGCTATTGTTTCAGCAGTTTCAAGAGCTCTTTTCAGGTCTGAAGAATATATCGCAGAGATTTTGGATTCTCCACTTAATCTTTCAGCCACCTTTAAGATAATAAGATTTTTAATTTAATAAAAAAAAGTTTGAGTAAAAAGCATTATGTAAATAAATAGTAATAGAATGATGCACATTCACAGTATCAGAGGTAACTTACTGCAACTGCTTGCTGTCTCCCAACATCATTTAGGTCAATATCTAAGTGTCCCTGGTCAACATAAAGAATGAAAATTCTTAGAAGAGCCATGAAAGATTATAGGAAAAGGTTCATCAAGTAATGTTAGACTCTATTCTATTCTTTCCAAAGCTTAAAAACAAATGACTTCACTTAAAAGATGATGGATTTGCTCAATAATCAAATGAAGATGTGGTTTATGTATTTACACATAAGTATGTATACATGTATGAAAGATACTTAGCACAGGGGAACAAAAATTAGGAACTCATCATACTACATTTTGTGATGGATTAACAGATTAGGTATTTGCAAGGAGATCAGATTACTAGAGGCATATTGGCATAAACAACTATGTATCAATAAAAAGAGGAAAGTTAATAATTGATCACTAACTATTAATCAATTACATCCAAGTTAGAAGTTCGATAAAACCTGGATTCTTTTCTCGGCATTCCACTCCGTCTCACCATGACGTACAACTACGATCTCAGTAAAACTCCGATCAACAGAATTGAGTTCAGCATCACCACTGCAATTGAAAAGGAAAGTAAGCAGAGTTGATAAGTTCAAAAGATCATTAAGCCCTAGAAATTATCGAAATGTAGGTGCACCAATCCACACATCAATACATACATGATAACCTGTATCGATCATATGTAGATGATATTTGCTTAACTGTTATACTAACCTGAAATGAGTATTGGCCATTAAAGTAAAGACAGCCGTGAGAAGAAGAGGGATTGGTTGAAGCGCGACGGAGAAGCTTACGAACTGTGTTCTTGGCCACCACAGGATCCGATTCCGGTTGTTGGCTCCGTGAAGGTTTGAAAGCTTTACAATACTGTGACGAGAGATCAATGGTGGTAGAGAAATGGCTGATGATTCTAAATGACACCAGGTTCGCAGTGTACTCATTCCCCTTTCATCGGAATTAGGTCTGTTTAAACAGTTTACAAGTTACACGCTACTCAATGGATATTACAGATGACCCCCTGGTGTTTGTTATAAATTCATTACAACCCCCTTTCAAAACTTTTGTTCATTATGGCCGCTTGTTACTTTACTTTTTTGTTTAAATTCATTATTCAGTTTTTCTCTTTCGTATCATTTTTCATATTTCTCATCTTTCTTAATCTTCAACATAAAGAATCATCTTTTTCAATCCTCAAACTGTGATGATACATGTACTGTGTATAAAATTGATACTGTTGCTTTGCTTTTGAACTTAGTCCGAATATAAAATTGATACTGTGATGATACATGTATTGTGTCTAACGCCTTAGCCTACTGTACTTTAAATCATATAGTCCCTTTTTTTAAAAGCCTTATTGAAACCGTAAGTTATGTCTTGCAGTCTTGTATTTATCCACTATTAACTGATAACATATTTGATGTTAAAAAAATACAATAACATTCAGGGACGGACCCAGGATTTTGTAGTAGGTGTTGCCAGTGGCATATTTTTCCTTTTACGTAGTGGCACAAATGTAGAAAAAACAAAAAATTCGAAAATTTTACACTGTATCCGAAAAAATAAGGGATTGCCGGTGCCACTATGGGCACCATAGTGGAACCGTCCTGATAATATTTTATAAAGATGTTTCGTATTAAAAAAAATATATATTAACATTGTATGTTAGTCTTATTTTTTTTGCAATATATAGTTTGTGATTGTAGTTTTTGCAATTGAATTTTTATAAATATTTATGTGTCAAATTTATTGTGAAGATGTAATTTAATGGTTATATTTTATCATTTAATATCCTCCCTAATAATTAAAGAATTTTTTGTCACATGTCACATTTTCATTGATTTGGTCACATGTCATTTTGTGGTTATTTTCAATTAATTTTTTTTCTCACATGGTAGTTTGTGGCTTTTTTCATTTTATTAATTTTCACATAATATTTAAATGTAATAATTGCAATAAATATAATAATAAATGCATATCAATTTCATTAATTGATTTCCTTCTAATTTCAAATTTTCTAAATTAAAGTTTTATTAGTTTACTTTATTTATTTATCTAAATTATTTGTTTAATTTAAAGAAAAAAAATAATTTAATTTTAATAATTCAGTATTTTTCTATTTTTTTCTTATAAATTCAAACTTCTCAAATGTTTAGAATTTCATATTTTTTTTCTTTAAAATGAACTCATGTAATACATGGGTCTTACACCTAGTTATTGATTATATCATGACACCCGTAAAATTATGTAGTGGGTCATTTAATATTGCATACCCTAATTTTTTTTCTTGATCCGTGACGAAACTTAAATTTGAATTTGTGTTCGTGTCAAGTATAAAAAACACGATGTCATGTCGTGTTCGTTTTCAAAATTCGACACAAAATTAACATGATTTAACATTTGTCTGTTGTATTTTTCATGGTTTTCGTGTTTGTTGTGTTATATATAATTACGTATTAATTAAATAAACTAATTTTTATTTTATTTTATCTTTGTCATGTCTTGTCGTGTTTGTTGTTTTTTAATCAGTTCGTTTTCGAGTTAGTTAAAAAAAACACGAGAGTGTGTCGTGTCGTATTCGTGTTATATAAAACTTTGTCATTTCGTGTCGTGTCAAACAAAAAACACGATACGATGGTCCCATTTGTCACCCCTAATCACTGTCATCAATACTAAAATATAATGAAATATTATAACAAAAATAAAAAATATATTTGTGTACGTTATAGAGGAAGGGTAGTAGACATTCATACCTTTTCAACGATATAAATTACTCTCAAACGATCTATATATATATATATATATATATATATATATATATATATATATATATATATATATATATATTATGATTTTTAGAAGTTTGGGGCATATTCATGATTTTATAGCAATAAGTTATTAAGTCAACTGTTACCCTAACCACTAAGCATTTAATGACAAAGCTTCTTAATACTTTCGGTTATTATAAATGCCATATTTAGTGCATCAAGATGTTGATAAAAGATGGCTTAACTGATTAATAACTTGGCTTGAAAATGATTAACAATATGAGGGTTTTGCATAAAATCATAACTTTCAATAGGGTTAACAACTTAACCCATTAAGGTGGTGTTTGTTTTTTGTCCGCAGATCTTCGTGGCCTCTTCTGTCTGCGCGGCGCAGACCACGCGCAGACATTAGCCTTCGCAAACTGTTTGTTTTTTTGAAAACTGCAGACCTAAAAATGTCTGCACGCCCTCTTCTTGGTGCAGACGTGGACCAGAGTCTTCTAACATTTTCAGACATCTTCTAGCCTAAAAAAACACATATACTTTATTTTATTTTTTTTAGTTTTTTTGAATTTATATTTATTCCAACTTTATTAGTGATAAACAATTTGAAAAAAAAAGTTACAATACTTAAAAGAAAAAGTTCGACGACACAAACATTATATTTTTGACAAATTTATAAATAAAAGTTTATTATACTGTCGTTGAAGTTGTTTATATAAATATGAAAAAAATATATATTCTTATATTTTTTGTGCCAAATTTTATAAAACATTATCTAATAAAACATCGTCAATTTCTTAGAAAAAATATTTATGGCACGTTTTTAATTGATTTAATTGAAAAAAATCGAAGTTTATCATTCATTTACATATCAAATTCTTTGATTTTTAATTACGATGTTTAGGAATAACTTTACGACCAAAATTGTTGGTTTTTATTAAATATATACGTTAATTTGTATCATTTTTATTTTCACTTTTTATACAATAATACATAAAGTTGATTTAGATTTGTTAATTATTTATAACAAAGTCATAAATATATTAAAAAATCACTTTGTAGTTTAAAAAAAATCAGTTTATTTAGATTTTAGTTTATTTTAGTAGCCTGCAGATGTTAAAAAAAAAAAAACAATCTTTTTTTTCAGACTGCAGACGTTTGGTCCACCTCTTCTGCTGCAGAGGTCTACAGATGTGGTCCGCAGACTGCAGACATTTTGCCTCAGAAAAAACAAACAGCACCTAAGTCTTACCTGAAGATTACTAGGGCTGGAACATGAGCCACTCTCACATGGTGGTCCGGTGGTGGTAGCAAGGCGGTGGCATGGCGGTTAAAACTACAAAAATGAACGTTTCATAAAAACTGATTTTTGAATAGTCACACCCACTAAAAATATTAAATGTTTTTTTTTCATAGCACCGCCAAATTGTATTTTAGATTGCAAATTTGGAAAAACTTTTATAGATTTTTTTTCCTTTTCATTTTTGAAGATTTCTTTTGTCGTGGGCAATAAAAAAAAACTATTTCACGGAAAAAAAAAAATAAACCAGTTTTGTTGTGGTTTCCTTGCTAAACAAACAGCCATTTCAGTAAAAATAAAAATAAAATAAATAAATAAATAAATAAGGTTACCATTTTATTAGATACATTCCCTTATTTTTGTTATTTTCTAATTTTGTCAATAATTAACCCTTAACATTCATATTTCATAAATCCTAGGAATCTACAGATATTATCATATTACATCATCCAAATAATTTTGGAAGACGATTTATTACACAAATCCATCGAATGCAAATAATTTACATGATTGTTTTTAAAAAAAACTCGTTAAAGGAGATTTTAATTATATGAACTCATCACTAATCCCTACTATTTTGAGCTCAAAATCAGGACAAATTATTTACTTTGGCGACGTTTTCGCTCCTCACAAAGCAATCTGGCCAACCGTGTCAAAGCTTCGGAATTTGTCCCTTCAGATTCGACTTCTTGAAAAATTCCGGTTTCTAAATCTACTCTTGACACCTTCTCATTCAACAGTTTTATTCCTACGTCCTCAAGTGCCTTCATGTTCTCATCCGTCGCAATATCGACTGATGACGTGTCTCCTATCAAGTTGTCTTCCTGCCAAAATTCAAAAATACACAATTATACGACCATTCAAGCTTGAAAGACCTTACTTTAGGAATGTAATGAGGCTTTCTTTTGAAATATTTTACTCAATATTGACATGACTTATGTAGATTTTTGCAGTTTAATAGAGAAAACCAGAATAAGTTTTTTCCAAATAATTCGCAACATTTTACAAAATGATCTAGTTTATTATTTACTTTTTTCTACTTCCCTAGGTGTGTAAAAACCATTTTCTCAAATATTTAGTTGAACGTTATATCTCTAGATAGCACTAGGAAACAAACAGGGCCTATTAAATGTTTATCTAATTCTCATCAGGTTAAATGCAAGATTAGCAATATACTTTCCTTTTGTTTTCCTTATTAGGGTGGAGGGAGTTCTTCACTCTCAACCCACTCAACTCACTGTCACATCTGTTTTTCTCACTTTTCTCTCTTCCATCTTTCTCAACCCACAACATTTGGAAACCTTATCTTTCCCAACTCACTCAACCCACTTGCCACAACACTAGTTTTTATTTAATTAAATTAGAAAATATAAAATAAAATAAAACATAACATTTTTTCTTTAAAAATAAACTTTTGCTAATTTAAAATTGTACAACACATCTTCCAGAATGGATCAGTTTAGGGCATAAATGAGTCAAAGGCATGGTTTTTGGGGAAAAACCATGTGTCACAACGTGACCATAGGGAGGTTACGACATGACATGCCAAAATGAGAACGCGTATCCGGAAGGATGTCACTATGTGACATGAGTATGGTCACAACGTAACTATAGATGCAGCCCAAGTCCATGATTTTTTATGGTTTCCTTCGTAATTAAACCCCTAATCTCGGATTTAGGGCTTCATTTCCAGCCTCCATCACCCTCTAGAACCTTGAAGCAAACCCTAATACCCTCATTTTCATTTGTGAGCATATTCTTGGTGTTTTGGTGCTCTTGGAAGGAAGAAGAAGGCCCTTATGGTGTAGATAACCTCTTGGCAAGCTTGGAGTTTGTATTTGAGCCATTTTTATACCATTGTAAGTGTTCAAGATTCAAACTTTATGTTGATAGTTTCTAGATCTAGGCTTCTTGTCCCTTTTTCTTCATGTTGTGGATGTTTGGATGGAAGGATTCCATAAAGTTGGCAACTTTATGGGTCCTTGATGTCCCTTGAGGGTTATGTTTGTTGGATTTGAAGTTTGACTAAGTTTTAAAGACATTCATGTGATTGTGGTTCCATTTCTTCATCATTTTGACCTAATGTGAGATCAAGACATGCATTTGACATGCATGTCTATAAAGCATCGATTTTTAGGATGTTTTTGGAGTAAGAATGTCCTTTGGAAATTTGGAATGTATAGCTTAAAGGATTAATGACTGGATGCATTAAGTTGTCCCAAGTTATTGTAGTCACGACGTGGCCATATGGGGGTCACAACATGACAATGAGTTTTCCCGATTATTTTGGATGGACTCTCTGTCACGACTCGAGGGCATGGTCATCACGACGTGACAATGGTGTTGATCGCGGCTGAGTTATTTGAATTTGGATTCTTTGGATCAGGGTTGAGTTGTTAGCCACGACGTGACCATGGGTTGGTCACGACGTGAGTATTAGCTATTGGTGATGTTGAATGTTGACTTTGACCTTGACCGTTGACTATTGGCATGGGTTATTTTTGGTCAAGTTTCTAGTTTTAGAAGGTAGACTAAGGGTTTACCTTGTGTGGTTTTTGTAGGAGGTCTTTAGCACCCGTTCTTTGGCTGTGAGAGTTGTTAGATGTTGGCTACGTCGGCAAGGTGAGTCTACTCACTATATTATGTAGGGTGTTAGTTGTTTCTGTTATACTTGCATGGAAGATCACGCGGTGGCCCCTAACATATGAATGAAAGACCAGGTGATGGATCCTGCCAATTATATGCAAGACCAGGGTTTGGCCCCGATAGTTATATGTAGGATGCTAGTTATCTTTGTGATGCTTGCATGGAAGATCAGGAGGCTCTTAGCACTTGTATGTAAGACTAAGATTTGGCTCCTGGTGTGGCAAGAAAATACCATGACTTGGATTATGGTTGATAGTGACAATAATTCTATGGGTGGCCCATAGCATTCCATATATTATGTATGGTATGTGGTATTTAGGGGAACTCACTGAGCTTTGTGCTTACGGTTTTGTGGTTTAAACATTTTCAGGTACTTCTAGTTCCAAAGGGAAGAGCCTGGTGTGACTACACAACATCCCCTGATGGGTTTTCCACACTGATTGTTATTGTTCTACTATGATGATTGAAAGATTCATTTTACTCTGGTTGGTTTTTGAACAAATGGGTATATGGATTTGATGGTTTAAAAAAAAATTGTTGTTGGTATTTTTGGGATGTTATAAGTTCGTATCAGAGTCTTGGTTTGAGGGGTTCAGGCACACTCTCGGGTATGTCTAAGCTCAAACTGAGGGATTGATAATCTTTTTGAAAGAAAAACAAATTTTCTAAAAAATAATTTTACAAAGAAAAGAGAGTGCGATGCATGCAATCATTCGAGCTCAAGTAAGTGATTCCCAAAATACACGTACATGTTGATATGTTATATATGTTATAGAATGTTTTGCATGCTAGAAGTTAGCATAAGGATTTGTTCAGGGTTGCATGATAGAATGCTTATTAGGAAGGATGCATTTTGATGTTTTGTGGCCTATAGAGTTTTACTACTCGAATGTTGCTTGCTTTGTACTTTGTAGGACTCATATTGATATAAGTTAACTATTAAGTGAATACGTTAAGTTACATGCTACAAATGTCGAATAATTTTAGAGTGATTGATTTGGCCCTATTGCGCAGCTCTTGTTTAAGTCCAACCATTGTAGGGTTGAGTCTTTTAGTCGAAAGATTATTTAAGTTTTGTTGCATGTAATTGTATTCATAAAATAGTTAGTTGACACTAGTAGGAGTTTTTCAGCAGCTGATGTAAGGGTGATGTGGGATCCTATAAGAGCCTAGGAAGTGCTTTAGTGTGAATGGTGCACTATTTAGCGCGTTTTGGGAGTATTATTATAAGTAAGTGACATAAAGGATTCGGGATGATTCTTGAGGATAGTCTGGATAGGTGTGTAAGGTAGTGTTGGGCCCATACTGTTGAATGAACAGGATCCATACTCGAATCAAGGAAAGTTACGAGGATTCTGAGAAGCATGTAGGATGAGGCATTCTTAGGGTATGTTTGATCATTTGTATGTTTGTCTTTTCAGTATGGTGACGAGCACTTATGGAGGAGGTTCTGGTTCTGGTTCAGGCTCAGGCTATGGTGTTGAGCCGATTGATGAGTGGATACACAGGTTTATTACATCTAAGACCGATCACAGTATTTTAGAAGTGAATCTTGTAATGTGTGGTACTATCAAGGATGGGATCATGGAGTTGTTGGATGATCGACTTGGGGCTTTTCATGCAGAGATTGTGGTTGGTCAGATCGGGGCGCAGACTCTCTCTTTTCGGGAGTTCAAGGCTTACGGAGCCCCAGAGTTCTTCAGGAAGAAGGACCCTATTGCTAGTAGACGATGGATTGCGGACATGGAGAATGCTCAGCGGACTAGCTTTTTCCCTCTGGGATCGAATGTGGTATTTTCATCATGCTTTCTAACGGATGGAGCCCGCGACTGGTGGGAGGAGGTTGGTCACTCTTTGGGAGATGAGGTCGTGGCGGCCATGTCTTGGACTGATTTGTGTCAAGGTTTAGGGTGGAGTTTTTACCTGGCATTGAGGTGCAACAGTTGGCGAGGGAGTTTTTGGACCTTCGCCAGACGACGGAGATTGTGGCAGAGATCACTGCCAATTTCAGGGATAGGGCTTTAATGGCTCCGCAATATGTTGTGGATGCAGCGATGAAGAAGACAAGGTACCATGATATGTTGAGGGATGATATCCAGGATTTTGTGAGCCTATTGAGTTGCAAGACCTTGGAGGATATGCTTACCAGAGAACAGGAGCAGAAGATTGAGTTAGAGCTTCAGATGAAGCGGACTCCAGTTTCGGTTCAAACAACAAAGGCTCAGTGAAGAAGCCCAAGACTTTTGATTCACCAGAAAAGGGCCATTACGGCAAGTGCGGGAAAACCCACGATGGGATGTGTCGATCTAGAGGTGTGGGCTGCTACAAGTACGGTGGGATTGGTCATATTAGTTGTGACAACCCGGAACTCCTATCTTGTACACCTAGTCAATTCAATCAATGTTAAACTCGTTCCTGTTGTCTTTTAGCACTGTTTAAGGGTTCGTTTAAGTGTTCTAAGCTTTAGTACAACCAAGGTTGAGATTAGGAATGAGTTGTCGAGTCACAAAGTAACAAAATCAGGCCATACACCCCTTTTGGAGGAGTGTGCGGCCGCACACATGGGTATACGGCCGTAGACACCCCTCATGGACACACACCCACCCTTATATAAAGGGTAGACTCCTTTCCTTTCATTCCTTTCACTCATTGGCAGCACACCACACCATTTCTCTCAAGTTCATCAACCGTGAACCCTTCCAAGGCCTAAAAAACGTGAGTATTTCATCCTCTAGTTGTTATACTTGAAAGACCTAATGATCTAAGCCTTGATTCATCAAAGTTTCATCATGTTCTTCATCATATGAAGGAGTACGGCCGCACACCTTCATAAGGGTGGTCGTACACTCCTTAAAAGCCCTCCAAAGTGAGAGTTTGACCCCCATCTTCCAGTTGGACTTGACCCTATCCTTGTTTCATCTTAAAATCGACAAATTGGGCATAAACATGAAGGGTGTACGGCCATACACCCCTTTGTATGGCTGCACACACACCCTATGGCCGCAAACCCACTTTGATGATCATGTTGGGCATCAAACTTGCATTCCAACCAAGCACGGGGCCTAGAACACTTCCTTGATGCTTCTTAGGACCTTTAAACACCTCCACATGCACACTTTTTCATGAGTGTGCGGCCGCACACTCATGGGCCACACACCCATGGCCGTACACACCTTAA